CTACATGGACAAAGTTCCAAAGTGTTTCCAACTCTGTAATTATACTGTAAATCCTCGAATTAGCACCCCCCTTGAATAAGCGCCCCCCTCGTCTTCTCCTAAATTTGAAATAAGCGCCCCAAGCACTAATTTGAGGATTTACGGTGTGTAGTTTGAAGAGCCATTTTATGTGCTTTTGCAAAGAATGAGTTTCGACAGCTCAAGTGGCAGCTAACACAACTGTTAAAAGCATCTTATTCACTTCCTAAGTAGGAGTATTCCACATCCATCTGTAATTCTCAGATTAATTCCATGAAGTCTTAAGGGTGACTTGTGTTGTTAAAGCTGGTTTCTATGAAGTCTTTTGCTATTATTTTTGGCAGCTGATAAACACATATAGCATCAGTAATGGTGTTGTTAATATTCACATTTGCTTACTGTCACTTGCATATTATAGTATACTGTAGTTGTTACCACAGTGTTCATCTGGGTTGTTTGCATATGCACAATAGTACATTTTGCTCAACCTGCAATACACAATAATGATAATAGTCACATATTTTAAAAGGGTATAACAATGAATGCAGAAAAATTACACATATATATCTTTAATTTGCTGCCCTTTCCCCTCTCCCCGTACCCAACCCCAATAAAAATAGGCCACTTACCTAAATGTGGTATCCAGGTGATATTTCTTGCTTTTCTGGAAAGGGTTTAAGAAAGAAAATGCCAGTTATAAATGGCATGCTTTCCTTCAAGAAACATTGGAGCTAAACTAATTCCTTTAACCTGAAAAATGTATTTTTATATACAGCATCTCCAAATTCTGGTAGAGTTACATGTAATTTTGAAACTCTATGAGGACTAGGAATTTAGGAATATAAAAAGCACAGGAAATTCATACCATTCTTTGTTTCTGCCAATAAATGTTCTGACTGTTTCCTATATGTGATTCAAATAGTTGCTTGATACATTTAGATACTTATTTGGTATGTAAAGTTTCACCTTCAGCTAAATTAATTATAATGATCTCATATGATA